GTGCGCTCCAGCTGGGGTCGGGGCTTGCAGCCGGGAGCTGGGAGCGCGGCAGGCAGCCAAGGAGGCCCAAGAGCCGCCCCGCCCTCCCAGGCCCGCCGCTCTCGGGTCAGCCTGGCCCAATCTCTGCAGATGAAAGGAGAAACTGAGGCTTATCGAGTGCAAGATGCCTGCCGGGAATCCCACAGCAGGTCCAGGGTTGAATCTAGGATTCTGGTCTCGACCATCATCCGGTGCTCCCAGCATCGCCCTGACTGACGGGCGGGGGGCCTCCGAGGCACCTCCAATGGCCCTAACGTAGACCAGATCTCCAAGTTCTTGGAGAAAGGGAGAAACGAGCAGAAAACAGTCTGGGAAGCACGCAGCTCTGGGGCCCCGGCTGTTCCTCGTGGTGGGTCCAATGCCAAACCCAGCTTCTCGCATTTCCTGAGCGCCTACTATGTGCAGGGCAAGCTCCAAGGCGATGCACTCACTGAGGTGCACGTCGTCTGCGTGACTGATGTGTACACCTGTGATCCTCACAGAGCCTGACAGGTGGGCCTTGCCATCACCCCCTCTGTCATCTGAGGAAAAGGATGCCCAGCGGTCACGCGGCTGCGTCGTGTGGAGGAAGGCGGGCAAGCTCCAGAGTCACTTGCACCAGGATATTCCACCTATATGGCCACCTCGCAGGGCCTCAGTTTACCCTCCAGTGAGTGGGGATGCTCGTGGTACTCTTCACAGGGAGCCAGGCACGCGTGTGGCATTACAGAGCAATGGACTTGGGGTTCAGGTTCCACTCTGTCACGTCCTGGCTGTGTGACCTTGAGCATGTGGCTTAAACTCTCTGGTCCTCAGTGTCCTCTGTAAAATGACAGGAAACAAGCTGCCTCGGTGCAGGGCCAGGCATCCTGTGATCACTGGGCACGGCGACTCTTTCTTATAAGAAATCACTGAGGTGAAGGGCCCTGGGCCAAGGAAAGACAGACAGATGAGGCCTCCCGTCCTTTGCTGCCCTCCTGTCCCCGGGGACGATCTGAATACAGGAGGTCGGCCTTGCCTGCCTCCATGAGGCTCGGGTCCGAGGCTTACAGCAGTCAACTGCCACCCACCCACCCCCAGCCGCCTGCGTTGCTGGGGACTTTGCCCCTACACTGCTTGAAAACCTCTGGAGCTGGGACCAGCAGATAGCATAATAGTTATGTCACTAGACTCCCACATAGTTGACCTTGGTTCAAGTCCTGGACTCGGTGGCTTGAAACATGTCCAAAATCCCAAGAGGAGAATGGAGGAGAAGGGATTACAGTGTGGCCATCCCTCCTGGAGGGTGATTTCTCATTTTCTGTCTGTGTCCCTCTGGTGAGCACACACACACCCTAGAGCAAAAATCTCTCTAAAAAAAAAAAAAAAAAAAAACTCTGGGGCGTTCTTTTTCCCACACCCCACTCTGTAGCCTGGCTGGGCCCCAGACAGGCCTTATCTTCATTCTGGTTTTCACAGTGGCCTCTGCTTGGAGCAACTAAGTCCTCTGCTACAAATCCTCTCCCCAGTATCCCGCTGCACACCTGCACAGGCACTGGGACCTCCACCTGGTCTGCCTTCACTTGCTCTAGCCCATCTGCCTGGCCTAGATTTCATCCATCCGTCAACAAGCAGATTCCAAATCACCTCTTCCAGGGAGCCTGCCCTGATCATCCCCTCTGGAAGTGAACTCTCCCTGAACTCTTTGGAAACCTGGCTTGCCCCTTTCTGTCATTACACATCAGCTATTTTTACACATCTCCTCTAATTTGGGTGGCTGCGAGGTGAAATATTTGAATATTCCATAGAGATTGGGGGGCGGGAGGGTATTGCCTCTAAAATACTTAAGGAAACCTGCTAAGTCAAAAGGAAGAACTCTTTAATTAACCACTCCAACTTCACAATTTAGCAGTAAATTTCTAATTTAGCACTTACAGAAACATTGTGTTGTTTGCAAACAGTCTGTGAGCGAGCGTCTCTGGTTGGGCAAACATTCCCTGGTGTGCAGGGGGCTGCCAAGAACCCCAAGTCGGTGGTAAAATACACGAGCTGCTGTTGCCAATTTCGGAAGTGGAATTATTAATACTATTAAAATGTTTTCGTGAATTTTCCAGCCCTGCTTTCGTTCTGACCTGCCCTTTCCTCTCTGTTTACTCCCCACTGTCTCTGTCATCCCATCCCTTGGACTCTTCTTCCCAGTTCCCTCCCTTTGTATCTCCCTCCACCTCCACCACACTCACACGTGCGTGTGCACACTCACACACCTCCACCTCTGCAATGCCCTGTCTTTTTTCTTTAAAGAATTATTTTATTTAATTTTATCTATTCATTCATTCATTTTTTTTTTAATTTGACCAGAGAGAGACACACAGAGAGAGAGAGAGAGAAAATGAAATAATAAGCCACCAGGTCCAGGACTTGAACGGTGGTTGCCATGTGGGAGTGTCCAGCTCCTTAACCACCACGCCACCTGCTGGTCCCCAGCTCTGTCTTCATTTTGTCAGAATCTGCTCCCTCTTCAGAGCTGAGTCCAAGCTCTGCCCTCCCCAAGGTGCCTGCCAGCCCCAACCAGGAGTAGGCCTAGCTCTGCAGCCACTGTGCCTATAACCCCAGGCCAGCTGCTCTTCTGCAAAATGGAGAAGCTACAGCGGAAGAGAGGTCTCAAACTCACACCCCTCAGGCTATATTTGACCTGCTTATTCTTATATTTGGCCCAATTTTTTTTTAGAGAGAGAGATTTTTGCTATAGGGCATGTACGCTCACCAGAGAGACAGAGAGACAGAGAGACAGAGAGAATGTCCCAGGTCCGTGCTCTGGACACATGTGCTTTGAAGTCTTGTTTGAAAAATTCATCACCAAGACGGGACGGTGGCCCGGCAGGGAAGCCCAACGTCTGTGGGGCTGACCCACATGGGAAGGTTCCTGGTTCAGGTCTGGAGACCTCCCTGAGTACACTGAGCACCCACTTACCCAGGATCCAGGCTGGCTGAGGCTGGGACGGAGGATGGGGAGAAGACTCTGCTGGGGGTTTTGTCTCTCTGTCTCTCTCTCTCTCAGAAGAAATAAATTAAAAAAAATAAAAAATAAAAATACCTCAGCATCACCTGAGGCCAGGTATGACCACAGCAGACTTCCAGCCCTGCCCACACCTGCTAAATGGTCACCTGGGAGGAAAAAGCTCCCAACCAGCTCCCCTCTCAGTGAGAGAACACCTTTACCCGCCCAGCCAGCCCGGCAAACCCTGCCAACACCTGCAGACTGGGTCCAGGAGCCAGCACCTTCCGCCCTGCTGCCCCCTGGGACCCTGGCCCCTCTAGTCCAGTCTCCCCATTCGCAGTCAGAGGGACTGTGGTTCCCAGCCAGGGCGACTCAGTGAAGCCAGAGGTATTTTCAGTCCTTACAACTGGGTCGGGGGGGTGCGACTAGCATCTAGTGGGCTGAGCCCGGGGCTCTGCCCAACACCCCACTGCACACGGGGCGGCCCCCACAAAGACTTGCCGGCCCCACGTGCAGCCGGCACAGGGCTGAGACTCAAGTCGACCAGGACACTCCGGTGCACACGACCTCAGATGCAATAAAAACCCAGATTACTCCTGCAGCTCCCAGGGCCCTCCAGGGACCCTTCCCATCTTCCCCTCTGGAGGCCTGAGGTCAGAGAGGCCAGTAGGGCCCAGATCACCCATGATCCCTCTGGAGGTCAGAGGTCAGAGAAGCTGACAGGGCCCAGATCGCCCAGATCAGTCCTGATCTCCCCTCTGGAGGCCTCTCTGACCTCATCTCCCCCAATCTTCGCCCTGCTCGCTCATCCAAATTACTCTCCTTATCTTTACACAACAATGCAAGCGTTTTCCTACCTCGGGGCCTTTGTATATGCTGTTCCCACCTGGAACAACCTGTCCAGACGCCTGCATGGCCAGCTCTTTCTCTTCCCTCGGGCCTCATGTCCCTTTCTTTACGGCCATGTGACACAGTGGCCCCTTTCGACGGGTCTCACTGTTGGACACACTCCCTCTGTCACTTGGGTTATTCCTCGACCGTCCTCCCGCTGAAGCGTAAGTGCCATGGACTCAGGACTCAGTCCCGCTGTCCCTGCTGTCTCGCTAGCATGTTAGCGCATAGCAGATGTTCAGTGAGTACTGAGTGGGCACGTGGCCTGGTCTCGGGCCTCCTGTGCAGAGGTTTAGTACACAGACAGCAGAGGTTCTTTCGTCCTGGAAGGAGCAGCTAACCACGCCAAGACTCCAGGATCTAAAGCATCCAGGGAACCTCCATTCCAGGCTGGGAACGCTGCCCAAGGGGTTCACCCAGGGCCCGGCTTAGAGAGGGAGAAACCAGGAGAGCAAGAAAGAAGGGGAGCCAGGGGCTGGACCAAAAGGTGGGGGAGCCTGAAGCCACAGGTGGTGGTGGGCCACAGACCTCAGCTTGGAGGGGTCCCCAAGCTGCCCAGCTCTGAAGACTAGACCCCAGCCCCTCGCCGAAGGAGGGGTGCAC